TGGCAAAAATCAGAGAATCTCTGGGTGGCAAGGGACTGTGAAGCCATCTGATGACCAACCCCTACTTCTTCACTTACTGACTCTGATCATCACAACGGACAAGAAGAGTTACACCGGAACTAGTTCAGAGATCCCACTGGGCATGCATCTGGGAAAACTGCTGGACCTTCATGCCTGAAGGGAAATGCGGAAAGGGAACTGTCGGGCCTGAGGACGTAAATACTCAGCCCCATGCCTTGGTCTTCCTGATGGGTTTCACTGGAAAAGCAGCAGGAAGACTTACAATGCAGTATATGCTCCCCAGCTGGTCAGTCAGATATTGATTGGTCGTACCATATTTCTACATATTACTGACCACTTTCTACATGCCAAGCACATGGAATAGATAGTGAACAGGACAGAGCCAATCCCTGCACTCATAGAGCTTAAAGTCTCTTAGGGAAAATAGCCACCCAACAGTTTCTTACAATTATGTAGGTGCCATTAAGGGGAAAGGTAGGGCACATAGGAACACGTGAAAGGTCACCTAAGCTCCCAGCAGAATCAGGGGAAAAGCCACTTGAAGAAGCAACATGGATGCTCCTCCATGCAAAAGCAAGTCAGAAAATTAAAGTCAAAGGAACAGGGAAGAATCTGGACTGGGAGGCCATAGAACTGACTTTTGGACTCTTAGCTTACTCTGTGGCCTTGACTAAGTAACTCCACTTCCCTGAGTTTCAATTACGCTGTCTTGTGGGTACTTTCAAATTCTGATATTTTCTAGCTACTCAGGGTTCAGAGTAGACATTAGATCATAGGCTTGATTCTTACCATAAGGAATATATGTTTGGGGAATGCATCACTTTGGTAGATGGTGAGAAAAGAAACTGGAACAATATGAGAAGGGGCTTGGAAGTAGGAAGAACAAGTGAAAAGCAGGGAGTGGGGTACAGAGACCTGACAGGGACAAGCCTGGAAGGAACTGAAAGACAACCACAGCAAACCATTATGACAATAAATAATATTCATTGGCGTTTAAGCCTTTGATGCCTACACTCTTTCATTTCTCTAAGAAGACTGTGATTTATGATTACATCTGTTTCATAATGAATGAACTAAGGTTCAAAGGCACAGAATCAGAATATGGCAAAGCGGGATGTATACCCAGGCCTCCAGATTCTAGAATTCCATTTGGGGACTCAGCAGAGATGCTGATAAGCCACCCTTTAAAAGAGGATCTGGACAGGTTCCAATCTCAAATGGAACGGAGGGCATCAGAGGACAGAGTGGCCCGGGCCTTAGCTAAACAGGCTAATGGAAAGCTGCCCAAGATGGGCAGAGAGGAGCAGTCACTGTACATGTGCCCACTGATTTACAGTAAGAAACACCCCTGTAAAAAAAAAAGGAGACCCCTCCTCCTCCTTTACCCAACATGATGGGGCTTAGGACAGGGCCTGGAGTCTGGGGGCAGTAGTTCTCACATGTGTTCATTCATTCAACACTCATTTGCAATCTACTAGGTGCATATCAAAAGAAAGCTCCTTCCCTGAAGACGTGCACAGGCTGGGTCAGTATAATGGGTAAAGGTACAGTTACCTCAATGTGAGTCCTGGCTCTACTATTTACCAACTTTGAGATGTTACACAGGTTTTTACACTGTCTGTGCCTCTATTTTCCCACCGGTGAAACAGGAATGATGATGGCACCTACTCCATCAGTGCCTGGGATGAGTGAATCGTGTACGAAGAGCACTTTGCACAGCCCCTAGCCCATTAGAAGGGTTTGATGAGTGTGAACGATCATAATTGTGACACAGGATGTGTCCTGAAGGAAAGACAGAGATTTTCAAGGGCATGAGGTAAGACAAAGGGCCAAAAAGTATTTAAAGTCTCAGAGTGTTTGAAACACTCCAGACCACATACTGGAGTGCAAGGTGTAGGTTTGGCAGCAATGGGAAATGGAGCTGCAAAGGCGACTGATGTTCTCAGTTCATTAAGGACCTTTAAACCCCGCTAAGAAGTTTGGACTTTATCCCAGAGACACTCGAAGCAAGAAAATAATACGATCCAATTTGCAATTCAGAGATACACAGGGTCCAGCAGGAGTAAGGCCTGCTTAAGTGTGGTTGGTAGGGTAATAATATGAGTGTACTAATTCATAGTTTTAATTTGAACATTTCACCTAAAATGTCTTATGGTGTGCTTGAGTGTGATATTGTTATGTGACAGAATTACATGCTTATGATTTTATAATTTTAAGAAGGGGTGCTATTGGTGCCAGGCCCTGTATTATTGTTTTCTGCCACCGGTCAGGTCTCCCAGGAAGTGGCTCGAAGTTGGAAATTAGCTTGCAGATGCTTATTAACATCTTGGAGTGTTAATAAACACCCCCATGGAGTGTCCATGGGACCAACACCTATGAAAAAGGGAAGGGAGGGAAGCAGGCTTGGGCAGAACAAGTCAGGATGCAGTGCCATCCCTGTGATGCATCCCCAGCCCTCGGGGTGATCAGAAGCCACAGTGCCCTTCAGAGCCGTCCTGAGTTGACGTGAGCAAGCCAGGACGCACACCAGCATCAAACATGCACTGGATGGAGCCCCCGGGGCAAGGAGACTGACAGCAGGAGGATATTGAGGATAGCACTCCCAACCGCTGGGGCAGTTAGTTGAATGAGGGTCTGAGCAATGCATCTCCACATCTGCCACGCCTCTCCTATTCAAGGGAAAGAATAACTGTGACCCATCAGGAACCTGAGCAGAAGGCCTCGGGTGCCCTACCAGGCGTGCGGAGCAGCTTGCCCCGGAAGAGCGCATGCACACACTCGCACCCGTGTCTAAATGTAAAGAATTCCTCGGACAGAACTTCATTCTCACTCTGACCAGGTACACCCGGCAGCTTTTCCTCTCTCCTGAGGCCTTCAGAGCCTTTCCTGCGGAAACAGTTTTATTTATGATACTGAACGATACCTGAAAAGAAAAAGAGCCCAGCCAGGGAAAAAATGAGAGGCTTGGCTAGGGGATCTTCAAGGCTCCTCGATATATTTCTTACTCTTTTTCCAGGCAGGAATTTCCATTTATAAAATTCATACAGCTCAATATGTCTTACGTTAGTTTTTCATTATTCCCATCTTTTTAAAGCACATCCACTTGCAACGAATCATCATTTTCTCTGATTCATGTGTTCAATTAGTCTAGATATTAACTTGGTCTGCCTGACCAATGACGGTGAATAAACGGGCACCTTCAGTGCTGAAGTTACCTAAACCTTTCGGTATTCAATGAGCCCTTCACGCATGTCAAATGCCTGGCATGGGGGGGGGTGACTTCTTAATGTTCCTGTTTGTGGGACAGAGAAGCCCAGGAGTTACTAGTTCCTCAAGTCTGTAAAGTCACCAGGATGTTCTAAATAACAAGGGACGGTTCAGGAGAGGAAGAGGCCCGCATCAACATTAGATCCAAAATGCCAAAGACAAGAGAGAAACAAGACGAAGGTTCTAAAGAACCTGGAATGGATGCTTAAGAGCTAGAAGGCATTGGGGACAATATAACCTATTCCCTCATTTTTGGAAATGGAGAAAAATAAAGCTAAGAAAGGTTGAGGGAATTACCCCAGTGGCTCAGTTCCTCAGCAGCAGAGCTGAGACACAAATTTCTTGGCTCCCAGCACCGGGACCTTTCTCCACTCCACCTACAGAAGAATAGTGATGGAGCGTCAGGACATTTGCTGGATTTGGAAATATTTCAAGGCACATCTGGGCATGGAGTTATAGAATCATGGGTCTCATATTCATTTTATGACTCACCGGTGAAAGGCTAGATTGTTTTAAAGCCATACTACAAGCCCCATGAAAGTTCATGCGGGGGTGGGAGAAATCAATCATCCCTTCCTACCCACACTCCCCATCAAAGAGGCCAAGGGGCAAAAAAACCACTCCCCTCCGGTTCCTTGGAGGGTACATTCTTACATCCTCTGAAACTGGAATTAATTCTACTGTCCTCCATCACTTCACACAGTTCATTTCTTTTCACTTTTCACAGCTTGTTGTCATCTGTTTATTAGTTTGTCTCCTTAATTACTATCTATTCCCTTAACCCTAAATTAGGAGGTCCAAGAGGGCAGGACAATGGTTTTACTCCTCCCGCTACCCTTAGCACACAGTGCGCACATAAAAAAATCATTATTGAATGCATAAATGAATGGACAAGTGAATGAATGAGTTGAACAAAATGACAACCATTAGCTACTTACTACTGTTTTGTTTTGGAATCATCAAGTCCCTTTCTCTATCCCTTCCTCCCTCTCCCCTTTTGCTAACCTCCCCAATACCTGATCCATCCTTTATTTATTAAATAGAGAAACTGAGATACAGAATGGCCACGTGTCTGCACACAGCTAATTAGAGACAGAACTAGAATGAAAGCCTGAAGTGTCCAGACTTCCGTCTCTTGCCACTGGACTGTATTACCTCACCAGCCATTTGAGTCCCTCATATACACATGGGTTTGGACACTGTTTCTCTATGTAAGTATATCCATATCCACAAGGTAGATTGAAGAGCATCTACAAAAAGGTATTTGTTCTGTGGGCCAGTCAGTCTAATAAGCTTCTGTAGGAACAACAACAATAACAAAAAGCCACTAATAACTTTGAGAAATGCTTCCTGTTTTATGTCCCTGTGGACACTCACAAAGTACTTTAAACCCTGAGGGTGGTGTTATGAAATGAACTTACTGTTTTTAGACCCAATTTCCCCAAGTTTATTTGACAAACACAATGCTTTTTTGGAAACTAACACCCATTCCCATCTCTTATAGCTGATGTTCCAAGCCTCATTCAAAGAAGCTAAGGCAGAAGCAAGCCAAAACAGCACGGAATTGCTGGGGGACCTGTGACTCTTGCATAAATACTGAGGTTTCACTAACCAGAAGCTTTGACCTTGTGAACAAATCTACCTGTCCTTTTAGGTGAGCTCAGCTCAAACGTGTGTTTTCAGAATGTGCCAGAGCCAGGGAATAAACTTGCCAGACAGAGAGGAGAAGTCCACAAAGAGCAGGGCGGCTGCCACCGATTCCTTGGTCTCGCCATCTTCACGCCAGGCTGACCTTGACATTGGCCCGGATGTCTGAACATGTTTCTCTTCTCTCTGCTGAGGCCCACTAACCCTCTCATTATACTTTAGTTTCAAAACTAAATCACGAAAATCCTATAACCAAACGGCCAGCCCTCCTAAAGGCTGAACAACTTGTAAGTGCTTGCATTTAATAACAAACAGAGGCTTTGCGAGGACTTTTACTCAAACCCATCTTCAGACCTCTGATTCCCCGACTGGAACTGCAACACAACTAATTCTTCTGATTTATAACATCTGCTTCTATTTTTGTAGCACCTTAACTTCTACTCCTCCACCCACTAGCTCTGCAGATAACCTCGGGCAAGTTAATTAACCATTCTGTGCCTCCCCTTTCTCACCCGTAACACTTGTAGTACAAGGACCAAATTAGTTCTAATGGTGTCAGACACGGGCTTGTCTCTCAATAAAACAGCTATTATTTTTACAGTCGGTGTCATCATCATTATCACGCTGGATCTCCCTGGATGACTGGTTTTTAATTGATCATTTCAGCATTCAGGTAGTCATCTCGGTGCAACTGGGAGTTACTATCATTCTCCTCCTAAAAGCCACCTTAAAGGCAAGATCCCAGAAGCTAAGGGAAGATAAAAGAAATGTGGAACCCACATATACACAATTATTTCTCAACCAGCACTCAGGACACTGATTAGTAAGAAAGGGGCTGGCCAAACTACCCTTTCATACAACTATAGAAATGTGATCATCGAATTAAGTCAATTTATCTACTTTTCTTTTAGATTGTCAACTTCAGCCCACCAGTAAACATTTATGCTGATTATTAGCATAGAAAAGTTCAAAAGAGACTCATGGCAGCAAGGGGGCAGTAAGCCTAAGTTTTATTTAAACTAATCAGCCATCGTCTCTCAGCAGCTCTTCAATAACTGCAGAGACCAGTAGAACCCAAGGGCGTATCGTGCACCATCTGATGCAGCTGCAGCCATGCAGAGCACTCTGAGGAGAGCTGGTCCTCCACGAACGCACTCGCCCATGCATTTGGCATCTATGTCAACTGCCCTCTCTGAACCAGCACCACGCTAGACATGCAGAAGAACGATGAACCCAATAGACACCACGTGGCTTTCCGGAAGCCCAAAGTGCAATGCAGGAAGAAAGTCAATTTGAAGAAGACATTTCAACAGATGCAGTAAGTGCCGTGGGGTTGCAGCTGTCATATCGAAATGCATTTTTTTCTAACCATTCAGTTAATAAGTATCATTGTTTTGTCTCCAAGGACCATGGAAAGCAAATGCAAAATGCTTTTGAGAGACGTAGAATGATGTTTGCATATTCTTAGAATGGTATATCCCTCTTAACTCAGCCTCTTCCTCCCAACTAATGCTCAGTGGGGTGGGATGGGGGGTCGACTGGACTCACGGGACTGAAGTCCGTGTTCCATCTTCTCCTTCGAGGAAGACTCCATAGGCCAGGTATGCTGATCCCCCAAGTATCCTAAGGGGATATATTTCCCATGGAAATACTGACTTCCAATGGAGGTCTTATTCCATAGAACAGGTGCTTCAGTGAGGACGGCTACATTGGATGTACTTGCTCAAGGGGAAGCAGTAACAAGTTACAGATTCTTTAAGAGCTAAAAAAAATAGGAGAATGAGACTATAATGACCTTATTTTACAAACCAAAAATCAGGGCACTAAGAACTTTTCCCGCTCCTGGAAACTAGGGTATCTGAGAGATGTAGTTTAAATGCCAAAACATGGGAAATGCCGGGACATTGGCAGTACATGCAAACAGAACAGCATGGCTGGGATCACGACTGCCCTGGGAAGCTTAAGAAATATCAACCTAAAATAATTTTCATCAAACACAGAGCCTTGAGACCTTGGGAGATTAAAGACAGTGGAAGGGTCAGTGGATGGAGGAATTTCTAAGAGTTTAAAGAGAGAACAAATTAATCTTGAATACCCTGAGGTGCAGAGAGAAAAAATAAACCCGCTTCACTTTATAATAAGACCCCAAGTCAATTGCTTTCTTTTATCCCTCTAATTTAAAAAATGTGCCAATAGAGTTCAAGTGAAGGAACCAATGATCAACTAGTTGAATGGAAAGTGAGTCCACATATATGTTTTCTGTTGGGCTCCTTTAGTTACAAGTGACAGAGACCCAGTAAGGTTACCTTAAACATGAAGGGGGCTTATTTATTAGGAAATGAATATATAGAAATTATTAGGCTTCTCCTGCCACTTCGACCTCAACCCTGACAGAGTTGAACTAGCAGGTTTTTCCAGGTTTCAAGCTGAAATTCTCAGGAGAGCATCTGATGACCCATCTTGTTTTTTCATACCAACTCGCGGTACAAGTGGCTAGTTCAACTGCGGGTTCCTGTCCAACCGTGACCTTAGAAATCACACACTAAACAGCACTCTTGGCTGGTTGGTCTCACTGAGAAGGAACTATGGGAGGGCCAGGCATATAGAAAGTCTCCTCACTGCTCTTAGAGAAAATTCTGAATGCCCAACCTTCAGGGGGAACTTTGCTACTCTTGTCCCACTCCAAGTTCACCCACCTGTTCCAAATGTACCTCTGGTGCCACAGATATCACCATCCATTCAGAATGTCATTGAGAAGATGATAGCTGGTTACACTGCCCTCCAGCCTCAAGAGGTGGTGGTGATGCTGAGTGGATATCAGACCACCCAACAGAGTATCTATAGCCATATTGTACAGTGAGCACACCATTCAAGGCTCCAGTCCATCCAGGGCAAGGAGAGGAAGTCTCATACTTCTCAAATACTAAGCAGGCCTCCACCTTCTTACTTGGAGCTAATCAACATTTAATTTTTTAAAAACTACTTAACTATAGACATTTGTCAGTTTAACCCTCTTTGCATAATAAGTAAGCCCAACTGTTATTCTCAGTATATGACACTTGGCAATAGCTCAGATATAGCAAATACTTTTTTTCTATACTAGCAACAATTATTAATTATCATGATACCCACATTGGATTCATTTTTACCTTTACAAAAATTCAAGGAGGGGAAAAATACACTTTTGTATCTATGATTTTTTTTATCATTGCTTTAAATAAATACCTCAGCTTTTCTGATAGTCCCTCCAACAAGTATCTCACTTGCAGGAGAATTTGCTGGTTTAGATGATCCCTGTAGGTTGCTGACTTTTGACAAATGGTTATTAACCAGTAACTACGTGGTATGCGATCACTGCCATGCTTAATATGCATTTTCTAATTTGAACTTCTCAGCCAGCCTAAGGAATAGGTACTACTGCATGTACCCATTTTTCAGAAAAAGACACTAAAATTCAGAGAGTTAAAATCATTAACCCAGGGAGCCACACTAATAAGTGAGAGAGCTTCAAAAAAACACTCAAAACCACTTCTACTGAGTCCCAAATCCAGTTTTAACCACCACACTACACAATCTCAATTTCAGTGCCAGGAAAAGTCTACCTGCATACTTTCATCACAGAGAGAGAGAGAAAGAGAATATTCCCCTTTTTGACTTGACAGCCAGGAAGCTCATGCACAAATTTAGTGCGCAATGTCACTAACCATGGCCTTTCCCATATGGTTTCTAACTTCTTTTATTCCCATGATCTCCCCCATGTATAAATGTATACATTTCTGCTCACAATCATTACATATCACTAAATAATAAAATGGAGGTATATACAAGGTGGGGCAAAACTAGGTTTACAGTTGTGAGTATGCAAAACATAGTTCATCTTTGTATTATTAATTATTGTATTATTTTCCAGATGAACAACTGCAAACCAACTCTGCCCCACCCTGTACATATACATCTTCATTTTTTTATCACTGATTTATTTTAAATCACCATTTACTGTGAACCAGACAATCGCAGTTCGATTCCCAGTCAGGGCACATGCCTGGGTTGCAGGCCAGTTTCCGGCAGGGGACTCACTAGAGGCAACCACACACTGATGTTTCTCTCCTTCTCTCCTTCCCTTCCTCTCTAAAGATAAATAAATTTTAAAAAATCTTAAATCACCATTTAGAACAATAAGAGAGCATTGTGATGAGAAGGAAGAAATGATTCTTCTCATTTCTAATCCAATGTAATATTTAATTCATCAATTATTGATTTTCTGATTACTATGTGTATTATCCATCTGCATACCTGGAGAGTGTTGCCTTTTAAAAAGTATTCCAGGGGAAAAGTATGCACACAGACAATGCTATGATAAATAGTGCACGCTGGTCATAAGTACTCATTCTGAACACCCGATAGATATATTGACCTGATGTTGAAAGAGAATCTGTTGCTGGAACAAAGCAATTCACTACTTGGAAGAATAAAGAAAACAGATGCAATCTCATGAGTCTCCAGGCAACCTGAGGACCAATGGAAAAGATTAAAGAGCCAATGGTAGAGTTAGACTCAGATGGCATCTGCCTGGATTGCCAAGTTGGTGACGTGAGAACTTCTAGATGGGCCATTGTGTTGGAATCAGAGGTTGTCAGGACAGTCTGCTTCCAACAACAGCAAGTACATCTACAGAAACTTTGTTCAAAAGGCACCTGAGCATGTGAGAAAGAGACTCCTGATAGCCTGGGCAGTGATGGTGTCCCCACCAGCCAATCACAGTTTCTTTTCTCCCTGGAGGTCAGCCTGGTGTTCTGGCATGGTCTCCCTATTTTCAAAGTTTGCATCGTTCTCTAAGACTTCTTCCAAACCTGGGGACTCTTGAGTCATACTTGCTTGTCCCCTCCAACACACTGGAGTCTTTCTGAGAAGTTTATCCCTATGACAGTGGCTGGACCCACCTTTTGGATGCGATTGCCCTTCTAGATTTCCAGGTAAATTCACGCTCTCTGGGGTCCACCCTCCTGTCAACGCCTCACTAAATTTCCTTGGACCCCCTGCTTCCTCTTCCTGCACATGTTCAGTTTCTAGACAACACACCAGTAGCACCATGCTCCCTCTGGACGTGGCACTTTACCTGTAGCTGGAACTCTGTGAGCACCTGAAACTGGTCC